AAAAAACAGCTAGTGTGCGGTGGCCGTTAAAAAGTGATTGCAACTCACCAAGGGTTGTTCATCATGAATGTCAAAGAACCCCTAAAAAGCACTAAAACTTGCTTTGAGGGTGTTGTTACAATGTACAGTAGATGGCTGCATTGTACAGATTTTGTACAGACACCCTGAATGATTTTTGACAACTGTGGATTTTGAGAATTTCAACACCTGCTTGCTTTGTAAATTATAGTTAAAATTGATATCTTTTTTAACCTCTGGTAGGTGTGTTCTGTGGTGATGAAACTTTACCAGTAAAAAAAGATGGAACTGTTGCTGTCAAGGACACTGTTCACCTGAAATGGTGTACTCCCAAGAACACGCATGCTCCAGGTTAAATGTTTTCTCCTTGCACATGTGTAGGAATGCTCATAATGTGGTTTAAATGGAATCCTAAAGGAGATACCTGAATTATAACTGGCTGATTTCTAACAGAAATCACACTGTTTCAGCAACAANGACGATAAATGACTTATCTCATCCACCATTTTTGTACATCCCCTGTTGAGCTGCCTAAACCTAGTGAAGTAATAAATTACAAGCACTGTACCTTCTTGAATGGAGTGCTTGCAGAGTAGGACGCTACTTGATTGTTATCCCTTTCAGTTCTAAAGTCGGACAGAAACTGTTGGTTTTATCCATGTAGTTTACCCCTCATATCTTATTTACTGATAGGTCGACAAGTCATGTTAGAACAGCCCAAGAAGTCTGGTGGAAAACTAGTGTCACACATATTGGCAAGTCATGGAGGTGATTATTTAATGTTATCAATGACTTTCATTATCTTTTACTAGCTGGGTTCTGACGCTGATTGTCGGTTATATTTTTAGGTGACATTTTCATACACTGTCTAGCGACTTATCGGACTCCAATGGAAGATCCCCCGTCTATAAGTGAAGGATGTGGTGGCCGAGTCACAGATTACAGAATCAATGTAAGTCCTCTGTTCTTTCAAAGTCTTGCTGTGTATGTTCTCAGTGGGCCTTTAGGGGACCTCAGGAATACTGTACAGTCATTATGCTTGATTGTGTAAAACGTTATCCCTGTGAAACTATGAAAATTTCACTGCCATCACTTCAACCATATACGAGTACCGATAACGATACATAATTCAACTGTAAAAGATGGTCTCTTAATGGTATCAGAACCTGTTTAAACTGGAAATTGATTTTGTTTATCAACAGGATTTTGGTGAATTCATGAANTGATTACAGCCAAGAATTATTCAAGTTTACTTGCAGAAATTTCTCGTACGTATTTTATTTATTTAAATAGGTGATCTACAGAGTCCAGGCTATGGAAAGTAGAAATGATCCACTCCCCGTGTCCATGACAGGAATCAGAGGAAAAGGACCAAAAAGGTAAACCATAGTAATCACTGGCTTTAATAGCCAATCATAACAAACGCGACAGCGCAGTGAACCAATGAGAATTTGGCACGAAAACATACAACCTGCGCCAAGTGCGAGAAAACATACACTCGTGCCAAGCGCGGAAAAACATATAATCTGTACGAAGAGCGCGAAGACGCGGAATCCGTGCCAAGCGCGGGAAAACACGCACCGGTGCCAAGCGCAGGAAAACATACGCCGATGCCAAGCGCGGGAAAGCAAACGATCTGTACCAAGAGCGGGAAGACGCGAAACCCGTGCCAAGCGCGGGAAAACACGTGGAAACTAAATCACGATTGATTTTTATTTTACTTCTCACTGGTTGAAAAAGAGGGTGTTAGAGCTTGTTTTAATGGTTTTACAATCTAGTTTGAGAGCTGCACTCACGCAAAAGCAAATCAAACTTGATTATTTTTGAAGTTCAAGTTTACACAATTAAAATAAAATAGATATACCACAAGGAAGAGGTCTTAAAACTAAATAATTATATTGATGTTGCCTTTTGTCAGGGAGGAGCAGTATCGCCAGGTGTGGGCTGAACTAGAAACTTTCCTTGAAGCCGCTAGCAAGACATCCAAGATGCATGAAAAGGTGACGCATCTTCATATTTTCTTTGGTGAATGCCATACATTTCTTTTCATGATAGTTCTAAGAATTTGGTCGTCCATCAAGACAAATCCCTTCTTGATTATTTTGTATGATACTGTAAGAAATTTGACTGGCCTCAAGGGAAGAAGTTGGTTTTGTTTCCCCTGTTTGCTCGATATTCCCCTAGGCGAAGCCGAGAGGAACATTGAGGATCGGGGGGAAACAAAACTCACTGTTCCTCGTCGGGGCAGTCATTGAGTGTTTTGTTATACCTCCCAACTCAAAAATAGAACAAACTGAGAAACAATTATTTGCTTGACGCCGGCTGGGACACAAATTTGCCGCGGTCTCCGAGGTACACGATCTAATCACGAGGGAGTCAAAAGATCAAGTTGTTGTTTCCCTAGGGAGTTAGTGAGTTTTCTTCGCTCTTGGGGGTTTGTGAGTTTTTGAACCATGACACGTGACACGTTCTCCTCCAACTGGAGAACTTATTGGAGTCGGGAGGTATAACAAGAATTCTTGCTAACTGTGAGGTTAATCGAATTGTCGGTAAAAGTGACTCAAACTTAGTAACAGTTTTGATGTGATTTTGTAACTTTGTTGTTTTGTTATTGCCTCGAGCCATGCGAGTTAAATCCTAGCTTTAAATTCTCAGTTCTAACAGTGTATTAGGCGAATATTTATTCTCTGTTATCCAAAGAGCAAAATTCCTATTCGTAGAAACACTCGAATTGTCTTTTTAGCTTTCTCTTCAATCTAATCTAAAATTAGCGAGGCCATTTGTTAGTTCAGTATTCTGTAACATGATCTGCGGATTCAGTCAATAGCCCACTTTTGATATAATAAAACTCAGTGAGGCCTAGAGAACACAAACAAAAGAAATGAATAAACATGGTCATTCAATTTCCTTTGTTTGTGTCCTTTACGCCTCGGTCTCAAGCTGAAGTTTATTATATCGAAAGTGGTCTATTCTCAGAGATGAAATTCCTACTAAAAAGCGAGCACGATCCTGGCAAGAGTGGCGTCAGCCGTGACAAAGCCGTGATGTCGTGATATCGCAGGAGGAAGGCGCCTGAAAAAGTGGCTGTCATTTCTCCCGACTGTTTGAAGTTAGATACACCCTAAAATTCCGATGCTAACAATGTTTCAGGTACTTGAATGCCTGCGTGGAACGAGTCCCACGAGCAGCACCACAGACAGCCCAAGGAGAGATACACCTACCGATGAAATTGAAAGTGAGTAATTGTAAAGGGAGCCCAGACAAACTGTTTGCGTGCTGTCTACATTTACATTTTTATAGCAAATGATAATGATCTTTATTATTTGTATAGTAAACGGTAGAGGTTAAGTCTGCATGCGAGCCAAGTGGCTGACTAAGCCGGAGATCCCAGTTGTGTAGCATGAAACGACTAAGAGTATTTCTACTCCCCCCTCGATGGGATGCTAGTCCATCGCAG